CTTCTGCCTGCCCCTCTCTTATTCTACTCCCTGGGGCCCCTGCCTGCGTGGGGGCTCCTGAGAGGGGCGGAGGAGGCAGGAGTGTGGGATGGAGTGGCAGGTCAGGCTTTAGTGCTCTTCACAGGGTGAAGGGACAGCAGAAAGGACTGGAGGGGGGTCAGATGCTGGAACATGAGGGAGAGGGAGGCTGAGGAGCCGTGGAAATCAAATGTCTGGTGTGCCCGAAGGCTGTGCGGCGGATGCACTGCCGACTGCACAAGAGGCCATTATTCACCATTACGCAAATATTTACTGAGTGCACATGCGCCTGGCGCTGTTTTGGAATTGGAGATGGCTGTTGCAAAACATCAAGGCCCTTGCCTTTGTGATGCCTACTTCAAATTTAGCCCAATTCAAATATTTTGTTACTTTCTGAGTAAAAGCATCCGCAGTTACTCAGGCACTAATTCCTGCCAGTTTGGGATTCCAGTCTCTCGCATCCTCACCCATACTGGCTGTGTTCCCTTTTAAGAAAATGTAGCTGTCCTAGTCGGTCTGAAATGGGATCTCACAGTGGTTTTTACACGTATGTCCTTGATGACTAATGATGTCGAACGCCTTTTCGTGTGCTTATGGGTCATTTATGTATACTTCCGTTGAAGAAACATCTATTCAGATCCTTTTCCCATTTTTCACCTGGGTTGTCTTTTTACTGTGGAGTTGAAAGAATTCTTTAAATTTTTGATACTAGTCTCCTTTTTTAAAAAAATATTTAATTTTATGTATTACTATTATTTTAAAATTTGTTATAAAGCATGAGAGAGAAAGAGAGAGAGAAAGAGAGAGAGAGAGAGAGAGAGAGAGAGAGAGAGAGAGAGAGAACGCAAACCACCAGGTATGGGATTTGAACCAGACTTGAACCAGATCAGCCATGTGGGAGTCCAGTGCTTTAACTGCCACACTACCCGCTGGTCCAGATACTAGACTGTTATCAGATATAAGATTTGCAAATATTTTCTTCCATGCTGTGGATTGTCTTTTTATTTTCTTGTAAGTGTCCTCTGAAGCACAACAAATTCGTTTGTTTGTTTGTTTATTTATTGTTTTTGGAGAGATCTTTTGCTACAGGGCATGTGTACTTGCTACAGAGACACATGGAGATGGAGAGAGAGAAAGTGAGAAATCGCTCCCCAGGGGGGATGGTCACACCAAAATCCCTTCTCCTCCATTCTTATCTTGGGATTTAGGGCATGCACACACATGTGCCCAGTGTGAATTTGAAGCTACCAGGTCTGGGACTCCAACTGAGGCCAGGCATGTGGGAGTCCAGCATCTTAACCGTTACCTGCTGCCTTCAGTGAGTGTATTTTTTAAATTATTATTTTATATTCTAATGAAGCTCCATTTATCTGTCTTTTCCTTTGGTTGCTTATGCATTCTGTGTACTGTTTAAGACACCATCAGATAGGGGCCAGGCAGTGGTGTCGCAATAACACAGCTGAACCCTCCAAAGAATGGTCCTAGACCCAGGGCCTTCCTAAACATGCTGGGCATGTGTGTGCCCATGACTCAGGCTTGCTGAGACTGTGGTTGGATCCTGGCATGAAGACCCTGCTGGCATTGCCTGCCTCTCTCTTCTGTGTCTCTCATGGAAATAAATAAACTTAAAAAAGAAGGAGAAGGAGGAGGAGGAGGAGAAGGAGGAAGAAGAAGAAGAAGGCCTATTGTTAAAAAAAAGAAAAGAAAAACTATTGTCTAAGTCAAGATCACAAGCAATTACACACATGTATTCTTCCAAGAGTTTTATAGTTTTAGCCTTTGAGTTGATTTTGGTAGGCGGTATGAGAAAAGCGAAGGATTTCTTTTTTTTTTTTGAGAGGTTTTCGCTATAGGGCGCGTGCGCTCGCCAGACAGACAGAGAGAGACAGAGAGACAGAAAGCGAGAAATCACCCCCCAGGGGGGATGGCCACGCCGTAATCCCTTCCCCTCCATTCTCCTCTCGGGATCTTGGGCACGCACACACACATGCCCGGCGTGAGTTTTAAGCCACCGGGTCCAGGACACGAACCACGGTCGACTATGTGGGAGTCCAACGACATAGCCATTATGCTAACTGCTGGTCCCAAAGGATTTCTTTTTGAGACTGCTTTCTCTCCCTCACCCAGTGACACAACCACACAGCAATGACACTGTACTGTTCATTTTTCAACTGATGCTGAAGGAGATTCCCATTTTAACCCCTAGCTCAGCACAGAGGTAGCAGCCCTCAAACACTTCCATTTGGGTAGCATTTGATGGTATAAATTACTATATTTTCCTGTCTGAACTCTCAAATAACTAAGTCAGAATACTGACCAACTTTAGATAGGAGAAAACAGACACAGAGAGGTTGTGTTGTCTAAAATCATGCATGAACCTAAATGGTACAGTTAGAATTTGAACCTGGAGGCAAGAACCCTGAAAAAGGGGGCTGGTGGGGCCGGCAGGTGGTGTGGTGGATAAAGGTGCTGGATTCCCACATGGCCAACTGTGGTTTGAGTCCTAGGCCTGGCAACTTGCTTTCTTGCTTTCCCTTTCTCTCTCTGTCTCTGGTCAAATTAAAAAATAATAATAACACATGGAATTAAATAAGTAATTCTTTAAAACACACACACACACACACACACACACACACACACAACGCGAGAAGTCCTGGGTCACGGCCACAGCTCTGCTGCTTGTACTTGTATGAATTTCACAGGTCATGTCCTTCCTGGGGGTCTCAATCTCATCATCAGTAGATATGGGAATTGAGGGCGGGCAATCACAATAATAATACTAATTTACTGAGCATTTGCCACACTCCAGGCTGTGCACCAGGCACTTTCAGTAAAGCGCCCCCAATCCTGTCGATCACCTTACCATTTCCTCTTCTGAGAAATGGAGACTCTGAAGCCTGTAACTGAGGACATTCAGCGTGTTAATGTCAAGACATGCCCCTTCCTCTCAGCTACTCTACCTGTCCAAGTCACTTACCCTCCTGCATCCCGAGTCCTCACCTTTTGTGAAAGCATAGAAGATTCCTTTCACAGCAATGCTGTGAACCCTGCGGGTGAGAGCCATCCACTCATTCATGAGTCTATCAAAACTATCAAGACGCCAAACCTGTTCTAGACGAAGACCGGAGAGTAAATCAGACCAAACACCTGCTCACACATTTTACATTCCAGTGGAGAAAAAGAAACGAGAGAACAAGCATAACCCGGGGGGACATCAGCGGTGAGTGCGGTTTAGAAAAAGCCTGATGGGAGTGGAGTGAGCGGTCAGGAAAACCCTTTCAAGCGGGTGACACTTGCGCTTAGACTGGAAACAGGAACATTTGGGGACAGGCTGTCCAGAAAGAGGACAAACCGAAGGCCTGGAGGGAGGAAACAGCTTGTAAGCGGTTGAATGAGAGAATATAAGTGAATGGCATGAAAAGACTACAGGAACAATTTAGTGCAAAGAGCTTTAGTGTACGTCCACTCCGTGCCCGCAACTGTTATCGGGCACTGGGTATTATTCAGAGACGGTAAATGTAATCTGGGTCCTGAGGCGCTCATTATCTAGAAGATAACAGAAAGCAGGTAGTGGCTTAGCTGCTGAAGTGGCGTATCTAATAAAGGGGTGAACATTCTTTCTTATTCATGCTTTAGCAAATGTGCCCTGCAAGTGCAGAGACACTGCGGCGTATCACCGAGGTGCACAAAACGGCACCAGGTTAATTTCGCCTTCGCAGCCACCGAGCCTGTATGGCGTCCCCCGCTCCTCCGGCCTCCAGGGTGCGCTGTTCCGCTTCCCAATGCAGCTGGACGGCGCCGCGTTTTTCCCTATTTCCCCTCTCGCTGGGCCGCGCTTCCGGTACACACCGGAAGCGGAGCCGGCAGCCGGTGCCGTGTCCACGGGGGAGGGGCAGCGGGCAGCCGCGGGCGCTGGAGTCCTGAAGCATGGCAGGGGCGGGGCCGGGGGAGGCGCGCACGGAGCAGGCTGGGGCGTCCCTCGCCCCGGCCCTTTGAGCCCGGACCTGACAGGTGAGGATTTCTCCTTTTCCGCCCAGCCTCCAAGCCGGCCAGACCCTCCTCGGGAGGCTCCTCCCTGCATGACGCCGAGGTCCGGCCGCCCCTGCCCTTTCTTACATCTCTTTTCCCATTGAGGCCCCGCCCCGGGTTTTTCTTTCCGGGGGCGCCCTTCGGGCATGTGTGCCCGCCTCTTGGCAACCTCTTGTTGATTTCGAAGCCATCACAAGGAATTGAGGGATGTGTGCGTCTTCCCCAATGGGAAACTGACACCCCACTAGGAGGAAAGGGCTTGATGAGTCCCATTCAGCCAGTAGCCCGATTCAGCCACAGCCTTTATTTCCTTGGTTTCATAACGTACACAGCACCTACTGTGTGCCAGCCTCGTGCTAGGCTCTGAGAATACCCTGGTGGCTGAAGTAGACGCGGTTACTTCTTGTTTGGAGAAGACAGTTTAGCGGAAGAGTCGCGCGTTAAATATTGTAGCCATGTAAGCGAAAGTACAAATAAATACAAATTGTGGCAATGACTGTAGAGAAGACCAAAAAAAAAAAAAAAAAAAATCTTCCTGAAAGAAGTGACACTTGCCCTGCCAGATGAGAAGTGGGAGCTGGTAAAGGGGGACCAGCAGTTAGCGTAATGGCTATGTCGCTGGACTCCCATGTAGTCAACCGCAGTTCGCGTCCCATGTAGTCGATCGCGGTTCGCGTCCCGGGCCCGGTGGCTTAAAACTCACGCCGGGTGCGTGTGCGTGTGCGTGTGTGCCCAGGATCCCAAGTGGAGAATGGAGGAAAAGGAATTGCGGCGTGGTCATCCCTCCTGGGAGATGATTTCTCGCTTTCTGTCTCTGTTTCTCTCTGTCTGGCGAGTGCATGCGCCCTATAGCAAAAACCTCTTTAAAAAAAAAAAAGAAAAGAAAAGAAAAGAAAAAAAATCCAAAGAAGTGGGAGCTGGTAAAGAACTTGGCATGCAGCAGTTCCCGTGTTCAAGAAGAGATGCGCCCTGTGTGTCCGACACTGGGGCGCAGGATAGAGTGCTGCCTGCCGGTCCTGGGGAGCGCACCCTCCTGCCAAGTGCACAGACATAATAAAATACACAAAGTTGCAAGCCTAATAGGCGCAGTGAAGGAGACGAGTGGATAAAATATTGGGATTTTATAGTGAAGTGAAGGAAAACTTCTCTGAGAACGTGATGATGAAGCTGATATTTGAAATAGCTGTTAATTCTGCAAAGCAAGGGAACCAGCAGTTAGCATACACACGCGCCCGGGGTGAGTCTTAAGCCACCAGTACGGGACGAGAACCGCGGTTGACTACATGGGAGTCCAGCGACATAGCCATTATGCTAACTGCTGGTCCCACATTTTTTAACCCTTACTATATGTGATAGTTTGGCATTTTCTAATTTAGAGAGGTTTTTTTTTTTTTTTTTTCCCTACGGGACGAGAACCGCGGTCGACTACATGGGAGTCCAGCGACATAGCCATTATGCTAACTGCTGGTCCCACATTTTTTAACCCTTACTATATGTGATAGTTTGGCATTTTCTAATTTAGAGAGGTTTTTTTTTTTTTTTTTTCCCCTCTGTAGGATGTGTGTGCTCATTGGAGAGACAGAGAGACAGAAAGTGAGAAATCACCCCCCAGGGAGGATGGCTGCTCTGCAATCCTTTCTCCTCCATTCTCTTCCTGGGGTTTAGGGTACACACACATGTGCCTGGTGTGAATGAATGTTAAATCGCTGGGTCCAGGACTTGAACTGTGGTCAGCCATGTGGGAGTCCAGTGACATAACCATTACAGTATTTGCTGATCCCTGTATTTCATTTTTAGTGTGTCAGAATAGCCACTAAATTAATTTCAGGGCCACATTAATGAGTTACTAGCAGTTTGAGACTCTTAAGTTGCTCCATCATGGGTCTGTACATTTTATTTTATTTTTTTGAGAGAGATTTTTGCTATAGGGTGGATGTGCTCACTGGAGAGAGACAGAAAGTGAGAAATAAGCCCCCCACCCCCAGGATGGCCACGCTGCAGTCCCTTCTCCATTCTCCTCTTGGGGTTTTGAGCACACACGTGCATGCGTCCCATGAGTTTTAAGCCGCCAGGTCCAGGACTTGAACTGAGGTTGATTATGTGGGAGTTAAGCAACATAACCATTATGCCAGCTGGTCCCAGTCTGTATGTTTTAAACTTCACTAGAGATATGTACATACATAAAGTATTTGAAATCCCTTTTAGGAGAAGACAGAATGTAAATAAATACTGCATTGTGTCTGTGTTTTTATTGGTAAAATACAGATTGGATCCAGTCACTCACTCTCCTGCTTTCCAATCTGGCTCCAGTATAGTTTTTAAGGCTTCTCTTTTGTCACTTACCCGGTGCTTCCTGTGGTCTAATCATTTGAAATGATTTTGTTTATTAAATGTGCCATGCCGTGCTCTTTTCAGATGTGATTATTAGGTTGCCTCATTTCTGGAATGTTTCTCTTTCAGTCTGCCCACTGAGTCCTTTTTATCCTTCAAGGTCCTTGTCCAACGTTCTGTTTATTCCTTCAACATGTTCATGAGCATTTACCGGGGCGTAGGCGCTGTCCCAGGTGCTGCGGGTACAGATGGGAATTAGACGAGGTCACTGCTCGAAGGCACGGGAGGACACATTGCGAGCGCAACAAGTTAATTTCGGAAAGTAATAAAGGCAATGAAGAAAATAAAGTAGAGTAAAATCATAGATTCCTATGGTTGGGAAAAGGCAGTGCTTTAGGTAAGGTGATCGGGGAAAACTGCTAAGACGTTGCTCCTAGCTGATTTGAAACATGAGAGGCAGTTTTTCAGCTCTTATCATTTGTTCCACTTTCTTCTCACCTCCATGGTTTGTGATGAGAAATCCACAGACATTTGAATTGTTGTCCCCCTATAAGAAATACATCGTTTTTGGGACCAGCAGTTAGTGTAATGGCTATGTCACTGGACTCCCACGTAGTCGACCGCGGTTTGAGTCCCGGACCCAGTGGCTTAAACTCACGCTGGGTGCGTGTGTGTGTGTGTGTGTGTGTCCAGGATCCCGAGAGGCGAATAGAGGAGAAGGGATTGCGGTGTGGCCATCCCCCCTGGGGCGTGATTTCTCGCTTTCTATCTCTCTGTCTCTGTCTGTCTGGTGAGCGCACGCGCCCTACAGCAAAAACATCTCCAAAAAAAAAGAAAAGAAAAATTAAATGATTCAAAATGAATCATTTACCCCAAACAACTCTGTCCTAGCCAGTAATTACAAGAACAACAAATTTTTACCTCCAAATCCTTATGGAGTAGCTGCAGTGAGACGGGAAATGCAAGTGAGCTGAGTTTTTTACTCTTCATTTCTAGCTGCGAGCAAGTTTATCCGAGACTCAGAATGAAGTTCATGCTTTGCACAACAGGTAAACAACAATTTATGTTTTCTTGTTTCAGAGAGCAAACTTCAAGAGGAAAACACACATGGGAAGCCCAGAG